ACCACTAACAGTATTTTCAAATGTTTCAGTCTTCCATTTCCCAGTTACTTTCTTCCTCACAGGCATTCGATTTCCCTAAGTCCCCTGAAATTCTTTATATCTCCAATCAACCAGTCAAATGCACTGTATTTTTTACCAGATGAGCTCATATGGATTTCACTGAATAATCTGATTGAAAAGGGTAAAGTATGGAGAGTTTGGCCAATGGAAGCCCATGCACTACTGTTCTGTACTGCCATGGTTTTGATTTTAGCACCCTCCACTAGCCCACTACCTCATGTCTCTCTTTTCTCCATCTATAATCTACAATAAACCAATGACCATCAAGTAATCAGCCTGTGTGAAGATTGAAAGAAAAAGTAAAGAGAAAGTCAAGTAGGTCTGCAAACGATACTCATCTAACATTCATCTATGATTTATTAAATCAGCTACCTAGCTATGCATTTTAATAAATATTTGATTGATTTTCATCAAGCCCTAGAAGATATGCTTGCACTGTTGCACAACTTTTAGAAGGAATTTTGCTTTTAATTACACAACCTCCTCTAAACTTGATTAAACAAAATCCTAACCCTATGCTGGGATTTTGTCAAAAATCAATGTTAATGTCAAGATGCTCATCTTTCCCTGACTAGGGTTTCATATGAAAAGTTAGGGACCCATCAAAAAGAGAGGGAGAAGCATAATTTTATCCCTTTTTTTCAATTTTTTTCTAATTAAACCATCTCATTGAACTGCAATATAACCCTACTGCTAATTTTATCTGCAAACCAAAAATTATTGTAAGAAAAAAACAATAATTACATAAACAAAATAAATAAAAGGTTCTTTAATGCTTGTCTTGAAGATGGGTAGCAGACTAGCAGTTCTCGTTTTTTGAATACAACCCTTGTTTTATTGCTTTCCTTGTCCCTTCTTCCTTTCTTTTATTTCCCGAACTTCGATGGAAGTAAGGTAATTCATTAGGAGCAGAAATTTAGTACGCCCAAAGTGACCCACGTGTAGGGTCAAGATCTGCATCTCGTGTTCTGAGCCGGGAGGAGATCGAGAATTTCGAATCTGTGCCGTAGAAATCGTAGAACATGTGTAGTGCTGTGGATGGATGGTAGCATGCGCGTGCAGCGAAGAGGCCAAAAAAAAAAGAAAGTGAAAGAAAAGGTTAAATGAATTGAGTGGTCTCGTCTCGGGATCGGTAAAATATGAGTTCCATATAAGGAAAGAGACAGGGGCCCTAGTACTCTAGCAAACCGTAGGGCCCACGGGAGCTTCTTCCACAGTGTAGTTTAGTTACAATGTAACATCGTTGGTTAAAATTTTTAGACCGTTGGATCGGTGCCCTGTACAGGGATCGTGCGGAAATAAGTCGGGGCATTGGTGAAAAATAAAAATAGATGAAGGGTATTATGAGGAAATTGAGGATGGAGGGGTACTAGGGTAACGGGTAGGTAAATATAATATAATAAAAAGTAAAATATGTTTTGTAATCGGAAGAATCTTAGGAGGGTAGGCCCCATAACTGGTGCGTTTGAGTTTGAGTCATCCGACTGTAGTTTAAAGTGGGCCCCTTATCTACGTAGACGATGGGTGTTAAAAGGAGTTTGATAATGATGTGTACGTGTTATTATACAGGACGGTCCGTGAACTCCCCACCAGTTCCTTTTGGTGGAACTCCCCCACCAACTAGAAGAAATTTTATACTCACACGCGGTTACCTGAGCCGAGCCTCCGACCGATGCTCCAACTCTCGGCATAGCCCAGTAATTGTATTGACGACATTTACGGTCTGAGCAGGCCGGAGGTTGAACCACACCACCATTTTATGAATCAAACCGAGTTGTAATTAAAAATAAAAAGTACATGAAAAAAGAAAAATAAAATGTAAAAATTCATAAACATGGCATTATAAAATTTTGGACGCTTCCAGCATATTATATCCTGGTTTTTGTTCAATGATATTTGTTTTAATGTATTTTTAAAAATTCTTTTTTAATAAGGCATATTGGAGTATATCAATACTTTAAACCTTGCCAACAACCATCTCTCATTTCAAACTAACAAATAAAGCTTCAAAATGATCTCAAACAAAAAGAATAGAAGTGATAAATGAATCGCACTGGAATCTAAGACAATTTAAATCTACAAAATAACCATTCTCCCCATCTGGCTCGCTTTATTTCTTCACCCCTCTTTCCCTTCTTCAGTAATGTGCTTGAGTTTGCAATCATTTTGTCATGTCAATTTGCACCTCTAGTTGGATTGAATTTTGCACTTTTCCATGTATTTGCTTATATTATAATGCAAGTTTTGTATTACAAGGATTGATACAAAATTTGCATCACCTCATCACACTTGATTTTCTCCCATGTAATTTGATTGCTCTAGAGATTATCAGAACTAGGAGTGCCACGTGATCAAATTGAATATACCCATATAAATTTGACTTGTTAATATTTGAATTTGAATAGAATCTAAATATTATTAGCTTCCAAAGTTAATAGAACATTGTCTAACTTCAAACCTGCTATAACAAACATAGATACAACGGGGATATGAAACTCAATCAAGATTAATCACATTATGAAGCCATACATGAAACAACTTTATATATCCCCAACATGTTCGCTCTTAATCGGGTTACATTGCTCATTTTACAAGTCTTATTTTCAAAAGATATGACTGGACTCATATCATCTATACTATATAAAATGGATATTTGCCTTGGTTTTGTTGTAGCTCGTACAAATTAAATTCAAATATAAGATAACATTACAATGTCATATGAATGGTTGTATAAAGTGAATACATCTAGTAACCATATAAAGTGGCACGCATGCCAATTATGGGGGTTGTGTGGTCACAATTCATTGAGAGAGAATAAAGTATAAAGTGTTATTCGACCCCACAATGAAACAATTTTCTCTTAGATATCTCTTACTCCCAAGAGGGAAAATAACTTTTCCACCTAGAGGGAAAAATGTTAAAAGTAATAAAGCAAAATTGTTCATTATACAAGTTTTAAAAACAAAAAGATATAAGAGTAAAATTATGACACGAAAAACTTAACTAAGAAAAAAAAAACACAATTAAATACATTTACCTAGATAAGTGTCACCAGATAAATAACTTGCCCCAAAAGAAACATAACCTTATTTGCACATATGCATGCCACATCCCTTACACTAGTCTACTATAAATGTGGTTAAAACCACACTATCCTTTGCACCACAGTACCACACCACACTCCGTGTTTTATACCAGTGTGGATGTATTGTCAACAAAATTTCAAATCAAATACTTTGGTCATTATTATATTTATACTATAATTATTTAATTTAGCATACTGTGGCAATAGAACTATATGTACAATTTTAGCATGGAGGAGAAACCACCAAATACATGTAACTAACTAGAAAGACCCTTATGACACATGGGCTAGTGCTAAAAAGATGTTCACGTTATACTGAACTAGTTGTGGGTGAGGTTAAATAACCTCATATATAAATTGAAAATACTATAAAATTCTAAAAAATTGATAAAAAGAGTCTGACTTTTATTCCACATCTCCTATTCACAATAATACATTGAGAATATCTCTCACGTGTAAGTGCGTGAGATGTTATCAATGTACTGCTGTACTGTGGGTAGGAGATGTAGATTAAACGTGAACGGTTGCATTTTAGACTATAATAATGATGTGTTTCAAATCAAGTGATCCACAGAAATATTACAGTAACTAAACCATGGGCCTGAAACTTTGGATAATCCTTTCACATCAATCCACGCAAAACCTTCGAGATAACAATAAAAAAGGGGCGGATAATGGGTTCCCACCCTCCTATACAAAACGGTCATTTTACCAACTGAAACGGCTGATATCTTGTATTATTATTTTATGATTTAATTATAATATTTGAGTAAAGAAATATGCATGAATAAATATTTTTTTGGGCATATTGATAAGGATGGAATCCCAAACTAATACTTATAGGATATATGTATTGGTGTATGTTTTGTCTTTACATTATATATATATATATATATATATATGTGTGGTTTGTTTCAGTAGAAATGGAGATTTACTTTTCACTACCACCGATTTTGGGAGGAGGTTATTAGTGTGGTGCTACGCTATTTAACGACCTTCACTTGGACTTTTTTTAGAGTCAAAAGTACGAAATTTTTTTGAATGGCAACAGGTCCGATCCGTCTTTGGAACAATCTTTAGCCTCGTCTGAATTATTAATCAGAATAAAATCATATCCCTAAAACCATCTTATTAATAATTGAAACAATCGGGTCTTATCCAATTTTTTTGGTAGAAGGTCTGATCTAATTAGATCCAATCATACTAGCAGTTATAATTATTTAAATAAATAATAACTTAAAACTTTGTTTTTGATAGTATAATTTTAGTAAAAATTATAGTAAGATAATAAATTATGCATATATTAATAAATCAAGTACTTTTTTATTAAAACTATCTTATTTATTATTGATCAAATTGTTTTACACATAAAATGTAATAAAAAATTAAAAAAAAAACTAAAAAGCCTATATATTATTAACAAAAATAATCAATCCGAATCTAAATCGGTTAAAAACAAGGAATAACAAAAGCCGACCCATTACTAATCGGACTGATAAATCGGCTCTACCGGCCTAGCAATTTCAAGGCCACAACCACAACCAGTCAACCACAAGGAAGAATGAAGCCGAGTTGAGAACAATTGAGCTGAGCCTGAGAGGAGGAGCTCTTCACTTCAAGTCTTCAGCAGCTTGAGTTCTGTCTTTTCTTGCTTTTTATGTTTCCTTGTTTTTTTTAATTTTAACCAAAACAAAAGACGTGTTATTCGGGGAATCTGAGTTTTAACCGAGGTTAAAGTTAAACTCGTGGCAACAGTGTGAGGTTAAAGAGGAGGAGGATTGCTTCGGTACGGAAGGTGAAATGGACGTAGCGTGTCGTCAGCCTACGAGTGTGTGTTTATATTCGCATTCAGTGACTTGGAAATGGAGAGAGCGAAAAACGGAAGGAATACCAGTGGAGAGAGAAAGCGAAAGGAGTCTAGAGAGAGAAAGGGGAGAAAGCTCTGCAGTCTCAGGCATCCGTTTATGTCTGAAACCGCCATCTTGACAACAGTGGCGGTTTTTCGAAAACCACTGATTTTCATGCACAAGCAGTCTTTATATATCTTCGTATCCGTCCAGCTCCCCTTTAACCACGAGCTACCACTTCGTATGCTCTCTCTTTTCTTTCCCTGCACATCCATGGCGGTTTCGCAGTACTGAAACTGAAGGAGAAGACATATAAAAGCTGAAAAAAGATAGAAAGAAAATCCAGTGGGGAAAAGAGAGAAAAAAGAGTGAGACACTCAGCTTTTTGTTTTCACGTTAGTTTTTCGTGTCTGTTGTTATTTTTGTTTATGGGTCTTGTCTGCACCTGCGCGTTTTGAATCTTTTTCTGTGTAGTAGTAGTTGTTGAAAGTAGAACTAGAGCCATTTCTTCTGATACACCGGAGAAAGAAATAAGGGGAGATTAAAAAAGCAAAAGAAAGAAGAAAGGGAAAGCAAAAAACTTACAAGCTTTTTTGCCGTTTGCCTGTTGATTCTCGTCTGATCTTGGTGTCTCCTTTTTTATCATGAAGCTTGTTTTTATGCGGGTTTCGATGAAGAGTGAATGAGTGATTATCTATCGTTGAAGGCGGGGAAGAAAATGCTCATATCCATTAAGGAAAAGGCAAGAATATAGGGGAAAGGCAGTTTTTTCCTTGTTCCGTTAAGTTGCATGATGGAGGTTACGGAGGTTTAGGAGAAATTTTTATGAAGCCGATTCGGGGCTTTCTGTTTCTGGTTGTTGGATAGGTGGAGACTTTGCCAGTGCCACCATCTTTTGTCTACTCGGGTCTAGGAAGGACCTTACAAATCTTATTTCTTTCCTTCTGTTATGCAGAGGCTGTTTGCAGAATACTACCTTCTCCGATCCATGGCGGTTTATTGAGTTAAAATTTTGCTTCAAATTAACTCAGGTTAGTTTCTAAAGTTCATTACTTCATTATGTTCAATTCTATAAATCTATCCAATCAAATGAAAATAAATCTCATTTTATCCCCCTGTTTTTCGATTCTGTAGAGAAGTTTAGACTTCCGACAATCTGATAAAAGAGCTTATGTTGAGGAAGCGAACAAGAGCGGTGACCAGTAAGCAAGTTCTCATGGATCATGGCTCTCTTCCATCTCCCAAAGATAAATTCATAAGGCCCACCTTGCCCTTCTTCAGTTCTCCAAGACTCTTCACTGCTTTATCCGGGAAGGGTTTTTCTGAAACTGAAGCTGTCATGAGCCCAACTTCAATACTTGATAGTAAACCATTCTCTGGTCTTGGTAACCCTTTCTGGTCTGATAGACTTTCTGTTAAATCCCCAGAACCTTGCTTGGAAAGCAAGCACCCATGGAAAAAGTTAGACTCAAGAGGCATTGGACTTGGTATTGTCGACGCCCTCAATGATGAGAAAAGCGAGAACAATTTCTCTAAACCTGAAAGTCGAATGGTTCTGTTTGGATCACAGCTGAAGATTCAAATTCCTCCTCTTCCACCCTCCGTGCTTTCTCCAACTGAATCCCCCAAATCCCCACCTGAGTTCGGCATCAAGACTCGAAGTTCACAATTGGGTTCCTTCTCTTCCGGCTTATCGCCTTCGTCAAGGAAATCTGCATTTGGGTCCGCGAGTTCTGGCCTCGAAGCACCCGCCTCTCCTAAAATTTTCACAGGCTCTCTCTCTCCTAGTGAGATGGAGCTTTCAGAGGATTATACTTGTGTAATCACCCATGGGCCTAATCCAAGAACGACTCACATATTTGATAACTGCATTGTGGAGAGTTGCTGTGGTGTTGTTAGTTTGTCTGCATCCAGGAAGGAAAACAGTTTTTTCTCTGATCGATCGAGCTATCCTTCTGAGGATTTCCTTAGCTTCTGTTACACTTGCAAGAAGAATCTTGGACAGGGGAAAGACATTTACATGTACAGGTCTGTTCTCTCTCTCTCTCTCTCTCTCTCTCGTCTGTTTATCTTCAAAACATAACCAGTCTAGTTCTAATTACCCATGAAACTAATGCTGAATTTCAGTCAACAAGAAAGCTACATAATCTCGAACTAATAATCCGATGTCAGATTTGTTTATGATTTTGATTCTGATTTTACATGGATCAGAATGTGGTATTCATGTTGCTTGATGATCGTTTCCTTTGTTAATCCACTAGTCACCTCTCCCCATGATCCAAAAGTAAGATTCCAATTGATAACAATTCTCTCTCATCTTTCAGGGGCGAGAAGGCGTTCTGCAGCCGCGAATGCCGCTACCAAGAGATGCTGTTCGACGAAGGAATGGAGAAGTCCGGGTTGGATGATACTATTAGGGCTTGTTCCTGATTCTTCCATCTCCTTCTCTCTCTCCCACTTCACAAGTCTGTAGAAACATTTCGGCAGTTTTAGGAGGGTATTCTGTAAATTCTTAATTTTCTGTATACCGGTGTCAATCAATGAAAGAAATCTGAGTTTAAGACTGCTTAGAGTGAAGACGGATTGATCGTAAGTTGGTACCTGAGTATACTGGGTATTTCACATCTATGTGGGTCTTTTCTTTTGTTCTTGCTTCATTTTTCTCTCTTTCTTTGCTTATTGTTCTCTCTTTCACTCTCAGACAGAGAAGCTGAGAAAGTCTGAGATATTGTAGAGTTGATTTAGGTTGGATAAGGAGATTGCTGTTGGGTTTTGTCCACAGTTTTTGGCTTTGGAAGGTGTTGATGTATGACTAGAACTTGCATTATCTTTGTTTATTTGATAATAATCTTAATATATTTTATCAAACATTATGAAATAGGACCAATTAACTGCAGTCGAGCAGATTCTCTTCTAAGCTTTCTTTTCTATTGTGCGTCTTATCCTTTGTACTCATTCCATATTTTGTTAGTCTTCTTAGACCAGATATCTGAGTTGAATATTTACTTTATACCCGAATGTGATGTAACCTTTGGTATTTATTTTCAGGAGATTGAATGCAAACCCAAGTCTTACCCAGATTATGATTCATTAATTTGTGATCAATTAGCACCATTGATTGGTTTGTATAAATCCAAATTAGACCTTGGAAGGAGTGGAAGTTTGTATAATCTGAAAGAATCAATTCTTTGGTTTTTCTATAACTTGATCCGGGATGGTAGCTTCCAACTTGCCTATTAAAATTATATGTTCTCCTGTTTGCCAGCATGATTAACAGATCTTGCTTACTCCCCATCTCAAACATGGGGAGGCTTCAGATTCAAGGGATGCTCTTAACAGGGCCTGTATTTGTGATCAAATCATAAATACTGCATTTAGAATGCTTTCAGAGAATTAATTCTGAATTTATAAAAAATGGAAATTAATTCTTTTTATGGGCTCAAAAAGAGAATCAGAATTTTAACCATAGTTAGCTGTCCCATAGATCTTCTTGGTTCAGTTTTAGTTACTACATGGGCATTGAACCAGCTTAAAGAGTAAACCATTACCTGTGTTGTATTAACCCTTGCAAGTATCAAAAAGATTACCTGGCTTAAGTTGAAATTCTGGGCTTTCTTTACCTCTGGATTAATTGACAATTACAGTCTAATCATTCAAGCATTTTTCTTCTTTAAAGGATTAATGAATCTGAGGCGTTATTGATTAAAATGTCATTTATTGTTATTATTATAAGCAATCAATCAGGATAATTAATTAAGATCCCAACTGGTTGGTGTGACTCCCAATATATACATGATCTAATGTAAGATGCAACCCATCAAGGAATGGTTATTTCCTCCATTGATTGACAGTGACAGCTCACTATATAATGTCCTCTTCTCTATAAAAAACAAGGGTATGATTTAATTTAGGCCATATATCCCTGTACCTTGTTATATCTAATCCTGCTCTTTAATTCTTATTTTATTTTCTAATCTTTAATGAATTAATGAATAAGCTGGAATTTATTCCCATAATAACAACTTTGTATACAAGAAATGTAATGTAAATGGGTTCACTTTCAGACTATAACTTCATGTACGTCAGAAGTGTCTCCTCTGTAATTATTATTTTGCAGGGGAATATAATAGCTAAGAAAATCGATTCTTGACCTAACGACTCTGCTTTTTTCAAAGCATTATTTACAAGCTTGGGTCCTTTTCTGGGTTTGTCTTGCTTTCGCATTACTTCATGTATTTAATGGATCATATTCTAACACAGTGTTTTGATTAATTTTTCTGTTTCTTAAATAAAGCTGAAAGCTAGTAAGCTTACTAGCTTAGGTTCTGGACTTTAATGGGTGGTTGACGTCTGCAATATTTTGTTGTTTCTGGGTTTTGATTATCTGAGAAGGAACTTCTGAACTTGTTCCAGGTGGAGTTGTCTCGGTAAATGCATTCGAGATGTGAGATTAAGTAAACTGTTACTCCTGAATCTCCACACTCCCACTTCTCAACTGGTTGTTTGTTTCTATCTGTCAAGTTGAGCTTACTTTAATAAGGGCAACTTACCCACTGTCGAGCATCCAATCCAACAGCAATAGATCAAATCAAACGAAGCTACTGTTAGACCCGAACACGGAGCTGGTCAAATCCATGATCTGAGATTCTGAGCCATGTTCCTTTTCGATTCTTTTGCATCTCATCTCAATGTGAGAAGCTTGTTTTGAAGTCTGGATTGGCATTTGGCATGAATCCGGTTCTGTTTTTGAATCAAATTGGAACATCATACAAATTTCTGGTTGCATTTGATTTTACTTGTAAAGTGGAGGAAAATAACTTCTTCCTTGGAAAAAATGATATTGATGGAAAAATAAACCTAATTCTTGCTTTTTCTGGTGTTCTTAACTTGTTAAACAAATCTGAATGGTTGAGAATAATAGGTAATGAATTGAGAGGGACTTGAAAATTGATTTTATAAAAAATTTAGGGTCCGTTTGGTTTGTAGGAATAGGGGTCTGGAATCGGAATTGGAATGAGCTATTTCGATTTTAACTGTTTGGTTGGGTGGAATCGGAATCCCATTCCCATTCTTGTTAAAAAGGCATTCTCTATTTGAGGGAATGGTCATTCCCTGCCTCTCCCTTGGGAATGAAATCTCATTCCTGACAATTTTAATTCCCATTTCCATTCCTGTCTGAACTAAATAGATTATGGGAGTGGACCATTCCGATTCTGATTTTAGAGGATTTCCAATTCCAATTCTGACTACAAACCAAACGAACCCTTAGAAGAACAAGACGATATTCATCATTTTTCTTTTCCATGGCTATTTCAAATTTTAAATATGACTGAACCCATTGCCATTGCATCTCATTATTTCAAGGTGCCTTAGTTTGTGGCTAGTTGCATCTTCTTGTTCTAGAATTCTAGAATTGAAACTCATCAACCAGTTGGTCGTGGCCACTCTTAGTTGGGCCACAAGTCAGATTGCAAATTTGTAAAACTTCAACTAGATTGGGCTTGGGCTCGGGCTTATTGTAGATTAATAGAGTTCAGAAATTCCCAACCCAATCCGACCCAAGTTGTTATTGAATTAAACCGGTTAGAGTTGGTTATTGAGGGTTAGTCTGCCTTAGAAATCAGGGGCAGCCGGGCAGGGTTAGCTGGCTTCATGATTTTTCGCCTTGTTTATGGGCTAACCCTTAAGCCGGTTACCCACTTAATTCAGTTTGGAAAGAATATTTGTACAAATATGTAGAGTACAAAGTCTTATATTTTGTATTAATTTGTATAGACTTGCACTATATATATTTATATTTATACTCTTTTCAAACTGAGCATTAATGTCCATTTGGGAGGTGTTGCTGCTAAGGATGGGTTGAGGGCAATAATATAATTTTACTTTCATAGATGACGGCTGGTTCAGTCTGAGGACTTTAAGGTCCGACCTATGAGCAAAGGAAGATGTCAGAGGCCCCGAATATTATCCTAGGGTCAGAGACTCCAACAGTCAAGTTAACAAGAGTGTAGCGAGGGGTGGAATGAGACTTGAGTAGAGATAACTTAGACGAGGTAATCAAGTAAAAGCTAAGATAGCTTAATAGGGAGTGATGCCACTTATTCTGCCTAAAATTTGTGGTGGATGGACGGCTAAAATGCAATCCGACCTATGCCACGTATTGCCATCCTGGGCCTGTCATGTGCTCTTACATCAGGAGGGATTTTATGATGCGACTTCTGGCATTCTGGGTTGGGCCCAAGGCCCGCCTTAATGTTGGGAGGGATTTCATGATGCGACTTCTAGCATTCTGGGTTGGGCCCAAGGCCCTACGGTGAAAATCTGGAAAACGTGTCACTACGTTTAAAGAAACGCAACTGTAATATGACTCTAGGTAATTTCTCTGGAATGCAAGTGCTCAGTCACCACGACGCTAGCATCGCAGCTTACATCTGTCGCACAGGATGTACTAAACGGGAAACTGGGCTGTTTGCCAATTATTTGGCCCAATAAGTCTCGGTGTAATGCAACTAAATATCCCCATCAGCTGAGTATATGTACAGTTGGATACTCCCATTGGGTGTGTACACATTTTTTGTTTTAAAGGCTCACTTTGGAAGGAGTACAAATATAAATATAATCTTAGGGTGTGTACACGTTTTTCGTTTTAAAGGCTCACTTTGGAAGGAGTACAAATACAAATATATTCTTAGGGTGTGTACACATTTTTTGTTTTAAAGGCTCACTTTGGAAGGAATACAAATACAAATATGTAGAGTGCAAAAATCTTATGTTTTGTATTATTTTGTATATGTTTATATCGGACATGTTTGTATTTTTACTCTTTTCAAAATGAGTAAAAGATATTCTTTATAATTATACTAGCAGGGACCCATGCGATGTACACACTTTATTAAGCAAAAACTAAACAATAGAAACATATAAGAGTATACAATCGTTTTATATTTTGACTTTTTAAATAATTAATAATTATCTATATTTAATATATTACTTTTAATCTTTACAATACAAAAATAACAATAATTAATTTCAGCTAGGATTGTTCATCAAACCGGTGAAACCAACCAACTCAACCCAAATTGGTCGATTCTAGTATTTCTGACTGGCTTTGGTTCAACAATTTTCCAACCCAACCAGGTTGGATCAATTTCGGTTTGCTCATTTATAAATTGACCAAATTTCATATTTCCTAGTCTAAAATATTTTATATCATAACTTTATTTTGTAAGTTTAAATCTTTTGATCCGACTAGCCAAACCGAAAATCAACCCAAACCGATACAACCCAAGTTGGTTGGTTTTCACTAATGGTCAATCTTCGGGTGACCAACTCTCCAACCTAATCAGGTCAATTTGATTGGCCAAACAACCTGCAACCAAATCGAACCAAGCTGTAAACGCTCTTAATTTTAACTAAATTAATAGTCTAATTTCTAATAAATAACAATAGTTTAATCTCCAATAATTATTGAAAAATTTAGAAAAAATACACAATTATTGAAAATAAATTTATAATGAAAATACAATAATTACAAAAATACAATAAATACTAAAAATATATTAAATTAGTCAATAAATAATGTAACCTCAAATAATAGTTTAATATCTAATAAAGATTAATAAATAAGTTATAATAAAAATACAATGAATACAATAAGTACAATAAATTAAATTTAAAAAGTTAAACAAATAATTGTTGAAAATATATTTATCACAAAAAATAATAAATAATTACTATAAATACAAAAAATATTAATTTTAGTATATATAAATATAGATTAAGATTTTAAAATTATTAATAATAAATATTAATTTTTTGAAAGTTATTTTCAATAATTATTAATTCATATAAGTGAAATTAGTTATTTACATTATTATTTAGTTATTTAAATAATATCATTATTTAGATTTTTTTAAA